TTTCACGTGAACTATGTGAAAATAGTACTGCTAATGCAATTTAGCAAATAAGAGCAAAAATATGAAAATAAATAATTGCTTTTTTCATAAAATGATGCATTCTTCGTTGACACTAACAAATTGTTCTACAAAAACCGCTAAAATCAGAAGCATAGCTATATAATGAGTTGAATGCATTATATTTCTTTAAAAAACTGCATTTAATGAACATCGAAATCCATCTACTGGTGGAAGGTGGAAATTAATGTAATTAAATATTAAGTACAACTTTTCCATTGATTGACTTTTCCGATTTGTTGACACTTAAAGAATGTTCTAAACCTAATTATTGTTGCTTCCAAAAGTAAATTAACGTGTATTGTTATGTACTAATTCGGAAAAGTTTAAATGTTACTACTTACACCATCTGGCGTTTACCGGCAGAATTAGCGAGATAGATAATTAGGTTTTGCTTCAAAATTTCCAATTTTTCCGTTTTTTGAAGATGAATAGAACATTTAGTGATATTAGTGAAATATATCATCATAATGCGCTAAAAACATAAGAAAAGAAAATTAAGGCTATTAAATTTTACGGCCCTCGGAATGCTTAGCCATCTAGCGGTGGAAGGCGTAAAATTGCGGAATAAAATTTTAAAAGCAATTATGTATTTATTTATTGTTTTCAATGTTCTGATTTATTCAGTACTCTTCCAATGTTACTATCTAAAACTTACTACTGTCAAATAAGTTGGAAAGGTCCATATTTTGAAAAGTAATTGTAAATTTGTTCGGATAAGTACCTATCTTCTACAGCTAGATGGCTAACCTTTTTTTAACTCTACAGAATGTAAATTTGTTTTGATTCAAACATTTTTTAAGAGTTCGCAAGAAACAATAAAATCCTAAAATGAATTGATGATTTTCTCCATAAATGCAATATGGAGATATCTTTGCACTGACCTGTACATCAGTTGCTTATCGTACATAAACTCCGCACTATAAATATTACCTAGGCATTTGACTTCAAATGCAAAAGAAGAGATTTTTGGTTGTCACAGTCGAAATGAATTAATCATAATTTTTTGTTCTTGTTTGTTTGTTTCAACAAACAATTTTTCTTATTTCTACTTGGTAATCATTTGTATATTGTCATCTTTTTGTGACTAATAAATCTGTTATCGATTTATTAGTCGACCTAACAAGTCATTAAAAAAAGTATGCAAATTTTTAATCTGCGAATATGGTGTTCACTGTTTCTCCGACTGTAATACATCCTTAGAACAATTTATACATATTGACAACATAAAATGCTTTATTTTATGAGGAATGACAATTTTTTTCGATTATTCCACTGTTAACTGCTAATTGGCACCATTAATATTTTCAAAGACGTAAAGTTAAATCTTAAAATACATGTAAAAATGAGACTTTCAAAATAGAATCAATTTTTTAATCCTAAATGTATGGATGTTTAATGATCACTTATATTAAAATTGAAACTAAACTATGAAAATAAACGTACGTTTATAAAGTAACTCACGATCCCATGCAGTTCCAAAAATTACTTTTTTGAAACTTAAAGTATGCAAGAAAACAGCTTATTGTTAAAAGTGAACATGTACTTGTAAAAATTTTATTATTTATTGATTTCCAAGAGTCTATTATTTGTTAGGTATAATTACAATTTTCCTCAGAAAAGTCAACTTTGCCCTTGAATGCATATTAGGGAAAAAACCTGGTTTTCCTTGGAGAAGGTAGTGACGTAAGGAAAACAACTCTATGAGGGAGCACAACTTTCACAATGACATTCATGGAGTTTAAACTCATAAAATGACAAATTAGTATCAAGCAAAAATCCGCTTTCAGCATAAAGAGAATGAAAGTTGTTTCCATATGCACAAAACGTTTTTTCCATTGAGTTCTATAATTTGCCCCCACCCTATTTTTGATAGCAAATGATTCTTTTTGTATTAATTTTGCACTACGTTGTATCGCCATAAGCATTCTCAAATACGGAACCAGATCCGACATTGACGACACTGATTAAATATTTGAATCAGTATTCAAATACTAATTTTCAAGTTCACTCCCTTTTCAGAAAAATCATTTCCATCAATTGTATTGCATTTATATCAATATGCATTTTCTAGCAATTGCTTATTACCTAAGATTTCGCAAAAATAATTTTTTAAAAACATTTTATTATATCCAATCAAAAACTTCATAAATATTTACACTGCTCCTTTTAGATATTTTGTAGAATTATCTGCAACTATTTAAGATGACTCTTGCTTCGCCCACGTTTGCGAATTTTACAACGACAAGCTTTCGATTCTTTACACAAAAATGGAAATTCTCGTTGCAATCTATCCCACACTCTTTCTTTCATGTCGATTACGAAAGGCATTGCACCGAAATCCCTGTAAAATGTAAGCGATATTAACTCTTTATTACGAGAAATTTTCAGCTTAAACAAGATATATTTTTCAATTTTAGAGACAATCAAGAAATATTTGTTGCTATGTAAGGTTATTAAAGAAAACATGGCATAGTACTGCATCTTCGAACTATTTTGAGAAATAGGCATAAAAAATTATACTCGCGAACGACAGGAAATATCTCCAATAATTTCATTGAGAGATTTTCTACTTGTTTATGTTTAACCCTTTCACTACGAAAGACGTAAATATACGTCCTGAGAAGTCTATCGATATACACGTAAGACGTATATATACGTCCTGATAAATCTATCGATGTATACGAAAGACGTAAATATATGTGTCCCTAGATGTTCATCGATATACATATACAAGAGACCTAAATATACGCCCATTACGTCTTGTTGAAAGGCATTTTCCTAGTACATATTTTAATCCGTCTTTTAAAAAAAAAAAGATTCTGCTCGAAAATGTGCAGTATGCAGTAAACACAAAATTTGTCGAGAAACTAGGTATGAATGCAAAGAATGTGATGTAACTTTGCTACATTTTTATAAAAGGCTACTTAAAATAAATCAATAATAGATATATTTAATTCATTTGTGATGGAAATGGGAATACAGATTTATAATATAATATTGAAAACTATTAAATATAAGATAACACAATTAACACAATTTGAACACGAAATGAATTTATTTTAAAACGAGAAACAACAAGGAAGGAACTTTAAATGAAACACAAGATCTTTTAATATACGTGTACGATATCGTAATTTCAGAGAGAACAGTAAAGAATAATTATATACACTGCTCAAAAGAAGTATGGCATAGAAACATTTTTGACAAAAATTGGGCAAATTTGACTGATGATAACTCCGTGAAAAATCATTCTTTAAAATTCTGTATCTTTGTGGAAAAAAATGGTAGCGGTTTTGCACGTACTGGAAACTAAAGATGAAGGTTTGGACTTTATGCTGCTCTAAATAGTATCACAAAAAAAAAATGTGGCAAGTCCATGCATTTCGTCAAACTTTGTAATTTTCAATATTGCAAACACGACCTCACATTTACGGTGTTATTGTGGTAGTGATGCATCAAATCTAAAATCAAACTACAGTGTCTTAAAGTAGAGATCTCAAGCTTTAAATTAAAAAAAAGAGCATAACCTTGCGATGATTTATCACGGAGTTATCATCAGTCAAATTTGGCCAATTGTTGCGTAAAATTTTTCTATGCCATATTTCTTTTGAGTAGTGTATATCGTATTATGTAACCTATTTGCATCAAAATGCAATAAAATGTTAATATGAACTGAATTAAGTTTAATTAGCCTTTTTAGAATTTTGAAATTAAAAAATTTGAAAATCAAAAAACTGTCATTTAAAGGAAATCTACGTTGGACTCAAAACTAGCTAAGCATTGAGTAGTAACGGTAGAGTACATACTCTTCTCAGGAGCATAGAAAGAAACAAATTTTGTCCATATTTACTGTAGAGAAAAAAAGACAGGTTCCAACCTGAATAAAAAAAATAAATTGCAATTGTTAACAATTATTAATGAATATTAAGATATACAGAAGATTCGTTTATAATAATACGATAATATTTATGGAGGCAAATTTTGCCACCTTCTGTTTGGCAACCAGTTTATACTCATGTCAAATAACGCCCTTGTTTCTACAATTACATGAAAAATTTGTTCATAACATTTCACTGTGTGGCAAAATTGTTACAATTGAACAAAAAGCTCTATATTTTATAACTTTAATCGGTGGGATAAAGCAGATATTTCTATTGTAATGTTACATTTCGTTATTTTAAAAATATAATATATCGTTTATCATGTTACAAGGTATTATTTTTTAACGATAATATATGTATACATAATATATGTACAGTATAATAAAAAGTTACAATGAAATATTTGAAAATGAAACGAATGCTATACTGTACGAAAAAATACAATGATTTTGTATTTCGTCACTCCGCCGTTTTTATTTATAATCATAATTAAATAAAAATCCAGCACCTACCGAGTAAAATGTCTTTTAAATTGTAGTCAAGGTTTTCGTTCAACCATTAAGAGAATTCCGATACACAAATATTCAACGTACACTTACACATGTGCCTATTATTCTAAAATGTCGCAAGTACAAATAACATTGTTAAATTAATTGAAGTATCCTCTATCGCATACTTTAAAAAAAAAGGCTTTTAAGTATAATAACTTGGACATTCACTGCATATTCGACCGGTGGTGTCAACAGTAATCATGTTTATAATTTAAGAACCTTTACCATCATAAGTTACTTGATACTTTTTGTTACTATTTATACAGTATTATGGTTGCAGTGTACCTCAAAATGGTATAGTCCACGGAATCCGTAACATGAAGTGTAAGAAGGAAAAACGTGATAGCTACTATGTAAGTTATCGTCGCCGTCAGAAATTTGCTCGTGAAAAATGCGATTACTGCATCATCGGAACCAATCTGTTGAAGCAGCTGCATATATATATAAAAATAAAATGACGTAATTTGTCATTGTGTTTTAAACAAATACTGCAGAATGTATAAAATCGTTACGTTACGTGACAAGCAGCCGTAGGAAATCTGGTTGAAATTAGCACGTCGATCGGCGTCCAAATGCAAGCAAGTGCAAATTCTAAGATGAATGCTGCGGCTAGAAACTAGAAATGAAAATAAGCTTAAAGGAATGTGGTTCATGTGTAAGTTACAAAACTATCACTCCACTAGGGTGATGCTTATTTTCGTCCAAACAATTTATGTTTTTTCAACTAAATATTAGAGTTCGTTATTAACTAATGAATTTAGTGTTTTTCAAGAAAAGAACTAAAATTTTCTTTTCAACATACTATAATTGTTAAATGTAGTTGTTTACATTGAAGAATTGTTATAAAGTAAATTTGTGAACTGATAATAAGAATAGTCATTACACGGTTATAAAATTTGCTATCTTAAACAATTCCATTAGGTTCATAAAGTCGATTTCTTAATGAAAGGATGTTTCTATTGAAATTGTCCGACTATTTGTTACGAATGTTGCTTTCCTCACTGATAATGTCAAACAATTGGACGTATTGGGTTGGTTTAACTAGTTAAGTGTGTTTGACGACTATATCCGTCATAGAGATGTGGCAGAATTTTGTGTCATGACGACTATATCCATCACGCGTAAAATTTTGTTACAATTTGATATTTAAACTGTAACTTTGGGAAAAACAAAATTATATGCGTAAATTGTAATATGTGTAAAATGTTTAAAGGTCAACACGAAATGAAATAAACAAATAAAAAGTGTAAATGATTTGATATGGATTGATACATTCTTGAGACCTAACTCGTCATCGCTTGATTATCGCGACGCACACTGGTGTGCGCTTTGCAAAAAGATCACCACAGTTAACTGGTTAAAAAGTTGTGTTGTGTTCTTTCATAGATAACATTTATTTACTTTATGCGTTAATATTTTCTCCTTGTTTAACAAATGCATGGTTTTGAAACTAACGTTTTAGGATATCTTATCAAAAAACAGAGAAAAACAGTATAAAGCGTTTCATCATAAACAGTACAAAATTAAAGATACATAGACCGATTTGATATTATTTCATAAAAGCAGAAACGTTGTTTAAATGCGAGAAAACATGTACAGTAATGTGATTGCACTAAATGTTTGCATGTGTCAGTTTCGACTTCATACCGACTTACGTTTTCAAAACAATAATTTCTATAAAATTTATATAATTTATATAAAAAAATAATTCAATATACTGCCACTGCATTTCTAGAAATCTGATTGCCTATACAACGAGAGAAGAATAAAATGGTAGAAATGCAAATTGATTACTACTAACCTCATAGAGTATTAAGAAAACCAGTTGTGGTTCACGAAAGAAACGTGGAAAAAGGATTGAATGAACGATAATCATGTAAATACCAGAACTGAAGAAAAATGAACTTAATGGTGGCCCACAAAGTAGCGATTCACGATCTTCGTCCTCCATAGCGTTTGCGAAACACGTTCGAAAAATTGAGAATTCAGAAATGTTTAACAATAGAGCCCAAATTGTGTAAATCAACTTTGTCATTTTTAAGAAGGTTACATTTCAATCGTCTTAAGTTTGCATGTAATATTAATGCTGCTGGTAAATTAACGAAAATAACTCGTTAAAAAGAACATTCCTTAATAAACTAACATGTTTGTTATATCAGATTTGTTCTCAACGTTTCGATCGTATATCGATTATGTGATAATCGAAAAATACAAATAATGATTCGTGATGTTAATCATTAATACCACTCTGAAATTTTCAGAATTACGGAATCTCAAGTTTAGAACGTTTCGGATTTAAAGAATTTTGAAAATTTGTAAATTTAAAAGTTTGTGGTTTCCAAAATTTCAAATTCGTAAATTTATAAATAAACAATTTGAGAATTTACAAATTTACAAATTTACTAACTCCCCAATTTACAAATTATCTCTCTGATTTAAAAATGTAAAAATTCAGAAATTTGGAAATTTAGAAATTTTTAAATTTTTAAATTATTAAATTTACAATTTCCTTAAATTACAAGTTCAAAAATTTACAAGCTTTCGTGTGTACTATGAAGAAGAAGAAGAAGAAGTTTATCAATTTTCAAGCTTTCAAATTTGTTAAATATCCAAATTTATTGTAAATTTACTAATTTATAGGAAATATAAATTTAGAATGTTTTTAATTTCTAAATTTCCAAACCATGCATCTAAGGATCTTTATCGAAATTCCCACAGTTCTGCTCTCAACTATTACTGTAGTAAATAATGTTATAATAATAATACATTTTCTATATTGTTACTTTTTTTGACAGTTAAAATTTTTATACAAAAAATTGTCAGCATAAAATATATAATGGCTGAATAACCATTACAAAATTTATAAAATGGAAAAAATATTGAAATCGAAATCAAATAAAATGTATAAATGATAGACTGGATAAGCAGTAATTCTACTCCAGCATGTCTATATCAAAAAGTTCTAGTTTTTTTAATTATATATAATTTCGAATTTTAATCTAATAAAAATGATATAAATTATAATATTACTCTCAATATTGTAGTTCCAGTTTCTTAATTTAAATTGATATAATAGGTGTTCCACACACTTTATAATGTACGGAAATTTAGGCATAATACTAGTGTATGAAGAAAGTGACTTTATTACAAAGAAGCATGTACATCAATAAACATCCAAATTATAATATACAACTTACAAAATATAAGTATATATAAAAAAATGAATAAATGAATTCCATTGAGCTACGTATCCGGTTGCTAGCTTTCGTTTGCAGGATCTGCGCTGCGCATAAATTTATATACAAACCAATCCGTAACTTCAGGATTTGCAAAACTGATTTTTTTTCTCTTACATGTGCAACCTGACCAAATTCCGTGTTGACCTCTAAAAAGAAACACGTAAAAACTGTAAATATTAATGTCGTTAATATACTAAAAACTAACAAATAAAAATTTGGAGTCTTTAACAGTTCAGGATTAATATCATTATGCTCTCCCAAGTACTTATTGCAAAAATATTTTGAGACCGCTTCAATCTCATAAATAAGAGTTTCTAACATAAGTCAGTTTTTAATCACTTATAACATTTAATTGCAGCAATTATATTTAAAGTACAAGTTTTAATATTTGTATTTGAAATACAGATTATAACATTTTAAAAAACGTTTCCTTTTGGATAAAAGAAAATAAAAATGTTTTCTTTTCACCAAAAGAAGAAAACAGTACAATTTTTTTTACGAGAAGTCTAGAACTTTGACTTTTCTAAATCACATAATGTATTTTTAATTTGATAACAATATGGTTAGTGTTACGTCGAGTTGAAGAATAAATCATGAAATAAAGTTTCTAAAAGGTTTCAAGATGCAGAAAAGTGTGGTGACACTCTTTCCCCAAATATTCCAAGCACATGTTTATTGATTAAATCAGCGCTAATCCAATTGTCTGTTCAATTAACGATTGGAAGAATTCATTAAGTTTGAAAGTGATACAAGTCCTTTTAACCCTTTCGCGCCGAGCGCCGCATATATGCGACATCCACTCGACGACCTGTGGGTACGGGCGCTGCATATACGCGGCATCCACGCCACGACTTTAGGGTACGAGCGTTCTGTTCAGTGATGGTACTTCGGCGGATGGGCCTGCCGTAGCGAAAGGGTTAAGTATAATAAAACCTTTACCCTTTTAGTTAGTAGTTTTAATCGCTATTGGATAATACGCATACATTTCCTAACAACACAATATACAAAAAATATGTCTATTAGTGCTTGCCAATATTTTTGAATTTACTGCAATACAAACCTCTAAATACCTCGCTATAACGAAAAATGAACCTTTCAAATATATCCATACACTTTTTGTATAGAAAAACTTATTTGAGATCATGACCTTGACATATTTCATTGCAAGTGATTCATTAATATGAAGAATTACTCTCGAAACAGTAGTAATTCTCTTATGCCACAAAATAATGAAATATTGCATCTACGGAGAATCCCATGATTTTCTAGTTGCCTTTTAGCTACAAGGTCATGTACCATGATTTATATGTATTACTTCTTATATGTAAACACTTTCATGGGATATACTATAGCTGTAGCTACAATCTACAACTAAGTTGCTCTACAATGCAAGTGTCTTACAAAACTAAACATCACTGGTTCACTACTTGGCCCTAATGTCCAAAATGGCGTCCAATGATTCAGTAGCATCCAACATCCAGACGAATGATAATATCGACATGCAGAAGGCCATGTGCATCGAGGCGCAGTCTTTTGCCATGTAGTATGCCAAATCAGTCAATATCGAGTAACGACCTAGGCCCAATGTTGTATTCAGCCATAGTAACTGAAATAGTGAATCATTTCTATGATATAGATATTGATATGGAGTCTCTGTAAAGTTCGACCCCGCCCTTAAATTTTGGAAGCGCTTTTAAATAAGGAAAAATGTTTTTGACAAAAGTTGTAAGATATCAGGGGGAACATAAGATGGTGGCAACAATTCGGCCTTGGATGGTCGTTTGAAGGTCATTTTCAGTTTCTTAAGTAGAACCTTAGTAGAAGATATTTTCAAAACATTAGCTATTCAATGTTGACACGTAAGTAACGTTTGGGTAATGTGACTGCAAATGTTATGTCAACTTTGAATCTCTAAAATAGGTAATGTAGTCAATCAATGTGATCAATCAAATGTAGGTAGTGTTTGAAAACATCCGGATTAGGGCTACAAGAAGATGCAATAAAGATGGGGAGTTTAAGAAACTGAAGATGATGTTCGTGTGGCCTTCAAATGATCATTCAAGATCAATATTGTTAATATTTTAACTATCTTAACATTATTTTAAATTTTAAATTGTAAAAGAAGATTTTCCTTCTTGAGTTAATAAACTTAAAACTTCTCATTTAGTAATGACCTATACAAAGTTCTCAAAGACGGAGATTTTTGAAGACTGTTTGATAGATAGAGCCCGTTAAAGGAAATAATTACGATGAACTCACCCATCTGCTTGATTCCTGAGTTAAACAACTAATGGCATGCATAAGTGGTACCCAAATAGCACGAGTGGATAAGTTTGTGATTAAAGCTGCCACCAACATCTGCATAAATAATCATTTTATTGAACTTCATTTGATTAGAATACTGCAGCACTAGTTAATAAAATGAAGCTCATAATTAAATTTATGTTTGAAAGTAATTAATCCCTGTAAGAATAATGTAGAATACATTTGTTTACAACAACAATGTTTACGTACAAATTTATAAATGAATTCCTTATCATTGTTTGTTTTATTCCATTTACAGTTCATATATTTTTCATGTATTATGGAAAAAGAAAATGAATCTACATTGATTACCAGCAGAATAGGAGCTTATTCAGTGGGCTATAATGAATGTGACATTTGCAAAATAAAATACTCAAATTACATTTAATATATTATACGATTTATTACACATTATACATTATAACTATTAACAGTCTTTATTAGTATTAAAATTAATAGTTATTATTAATATTACATATCACGACAATAATAATTCAATTGTTAAAGATATTAAAGTTACTTTTAACAAGTGCAATAAGTAAAATTTATTTTCTATTTTATTTTCAAATGTTATTTATGGAAGTAACATAATTAATAGAATTTTAATTTTTTAATAAAAATTTATGAAAATTTATTAAACTTACTTCATAAATATAGAGAAGTTGAATCGGTGGCTCTTTAAGGGTCCTAGGCCAAAGTCTATACTCGGCAAGAAGACACAGGACAGAAAACACGAAAATCACCGAGGCATAAGATGGATCAAAGGGAAGATTGTTTTCTTCGTCGAAACATAAACCAATTATACAAATTTGACGAAGATGGGTATACATTCCTGTAGCAACCACCGCAATCCAATGAGGATTGATACTCGCTAAATATTCCTTCACCGTTTCCATATCCTAATAATACATAATAGATATTTTCGTTTCTTTTGTTGGTCAAGCAATATCAAACTTACGAAATATTCCAAGAATAAAGTAGATATTATATTAATAATATTTATAAAGTTAATAAGATTATTATAATATACTGCATGAAATAAAAAATAATTGAAAATTATAGAATCTTCATAAGGGCACCAAGTAATCGATGCTGCAGCTATATAGAGAAAACGTCAATTGTATTTTAAGATAAATAAACTACAATTTCATGTCACTGATTATAAAACTTACAGGATTCAACATTTAGATTTGAATAATTTTTTGTATTAAGAAGTAAGATTCAATCATGCAGAATGTGATTTTCTCTGTAATGTAATAAAAACAATAGAGTTTCGATGTTTCATATATTTGTGCATGAATTAATTATTCATCTTTAATACAGTGTTACACTAAATTATTTACTTTGTTATTTAATTGTAATTATATCGTCTCAAAATTTGAATTAATTTGAATCAACATATGTATACATATAGGGCACCATAAGAGCTTCAGTGATAGTTCTAGCGATAATTCTATGAAAAATTAATGTCTATAACAATTTTACTGTGATATTACAATATTAACATTCCTGTTAAAAATTATATAAATTTGTTTACAGAAACTGACTTTTGTAAATAAAACTTTAACAAGAAAAAATCTTATTTATTGACCAAAATAGAACCATTTCAAAACGGAATCAATGTCGCAAATTCTCGAATCAAACATCTTTCTTAAAAGTTTGAAACAGCATTATCTATGAGCGAATACGAAAGGCAAAGAACAGAAATATCTTAAGATATTCGAAAAAATAACTCAAGAATTTTTGAACGACCAAAACTCATGAAGACAACGTAGAAATAAGGTAATTGAAATATATATTACGTAAAAAAGTAACATACCATTGGTTGTTCGTTCGTAAAATTCACAACAGCGTTTAAAGCACAAAATTAACATTAGGAATATTTATCTAATTGCTCTGCTTTCAGATTTGTACTCCTTCAGAAAAAGTTTGTGTACTTATAACGTACAATTTACATTGAATTCACTCTTCTTCTTGGAATCAAATGAACGAACAATAACTATGTCCTAATTTTGATTTTAACTACCAATTTAACATCGTCGTATAATTCTCTACCATCGGAAAGCTAGGTTAAGACATTTGTTATACCTTTCAAGATTCAACGTCTTCTGGAATTTGTTAAAAAGACAATCATCATTATGATGATAATTTCACTCTGGTTTTCTAGTTAGTATGCATGTAGTCGTAGTTGGAAAATGAATTCAATTCAGCTACGCACTACTGTTTAGAAGTACAAACTTATAAAAGTATAAAATTATAAAATTATAAGATTCTTAGATTTTGTGATTCTGATATTCTGCAATCCTGAAATGCTGAAATTCTGAAATTCTGAAACTCTGAAATTCTGAGACTCTGAGATCCTGAAATTCTGAAATTAAGAAATTATCAAATAATAAATTACCCGAATTAGGACCGAACACACGCAACACCACCATGACCATCAGACTATTGGAATGCAGAAAATATAACGATGCCAGAAAAAGATTAAACATCAATGAACTGAAGCAACCACTGAAATAACCACATCAACAGCGTATCAAGACACATTACTAAAATTTTGTAAAACTATAGGAAACCTCACCCAACTATGAAGAAGTTATGTCAAACCATCCACTTCTGACCATAACCTTATCTCCGTAAACTGGTCGACAGTCGCTAATAACCTGGGTAGTTGATGCGACTATAAACCACTATTTAAAAAACAAAAAAAAATAATAAATTCTTCATTTTTAGTTGATTTACTATCAAGGATAATATCACTACTGTTTCTTTTGAAGTATCACGTAACTATACAAGTAATACAATGTCCTGAAAAGAGATTTGCGTACAGATGCATTAATGCTCCTGTTAGTAAATAGAAATCGACGAACGGTCGACACAGACCATGTGCCTTTTCTCATTGCATTTCCCCTTCCTCAGGGAACCTTGCTGGGCCTAAGTACCATAAACAGCCATGCTAACGGAGGTGTCCTCAAGACGAGATCGTGTCTAGGAAGACACTCTTGTATTGGCATTCGTCGTAAAAAAGTCACAGTAAAGCATTGCAGTATATGTTTTTAAAATCGCCCACTAGTTTATTTGGTGACCCTCACCCGTTACCAATAACATTCCTGATTACCTTACAAATCAGAAGCGGGATTTACCGTTTGTGTAAGTGCACATTTTGACGAGTGTACTTGCGTGTTATTATTAAACAAACAATTCGAGTGCTCTGAACTATAAAGTGTGCATTTATTGTTAGTTATTAGTGACTTTAATAATCTTAGTGATAATTAGCAACTCTGTTGAGACTAGTGTTAAATGTATTTATATATTGACTACATTTTTAATTGACAATTAAAATGGATCGTGCATCGTGCAGTCGTGATGGAGAAAGTGCACCTGAGAGGAGAGACAATTCAATGGAATCACGACTGGGACGTCTTGAAAATATGATGGAGGAGTTTTTGAGATGCTCTCGATCCTGTGTACGATCGTGTTCGTCCCGACGCGACGGCGAGATTCGTGTTCGCATTCGAGCTCGCGTTCGCGAAGCCGGGGAAGACGTACTTCGCGTGTACGTTCGCGTAGTCCGCGTAAAAGTAATAATACGGCTAAAAACGCTCGTCTTGATCGAATTGAAGAAGAAAGCTTGAATACAAGAAGGTTTATTGTCTTGTTGAGCATTTATGGCCTTTTGTCACCTAGTACTCTAGCGCTGCCCCTTAGAGGCCGACACCAGATGAGGGGGCGACTGAAGCCGCCAGCCGGGGCTCCCCCTCCCCTAAGTAACCCATGTCGACAAGATTTCTCCCGTCACGTTTGATGGGTAACCGTCGAAGACGCTTAAGCGTTCTTCTACCGCACATCATTTGCTCCCGACGACCGCCCTTTGCCCACGGATGTGGGATCAGACGCATCCGCACGGGAGCTTTAAGGGTAACACCGTGCGGTGCAGCGTTTACCCTGTAGGCCACAGCTTCCCTGAGACTGGCTTTAAGACACCAGCCTCCCGAGTCCTGAGGTCGGATTCCGGGACGCGACGCGAAGTCGCCAACCGTTCACCTCGCCCAGGCCCGGCACGTCAGCCTGGCCAACGAATACAAGAAGGTACGCGTCGCGTGCAAAGTCCCCAAGTTTTGCACGTCCGGGAGACGAACATTTGATACCGATTTACGACCCATCTAAAGAAGATGTCGCCATCGAGAATTGGGTACGGCATGTAGATGACCTAGCATCGCGATTCGCATGGGACGACCGATGCGTTATGCGTCTGATTACCACCCGCTTGCGTGGACATGCTAGGCAATGGTATGATACGCCGATACAAGCAGCGACTACCTGGGCTGAAACAAAGGTGTCTTTTGTGGCGCAATTCCGACGGATGATGCCGTTTTCGAAACTATTACGAGAAGCGGATTTATACGAGGCGAAGCCGGGCCAATCTTTGGGAGATTATTGTTTTCAAAAACTGAATCTCATCAGGAAATTGAACATTAATCTAGCAAACGATAAGCTGGTATCCTTGGCATTCCTGGCGATACGATAGCCAGGACCATTCGTTCAGCAAAGCACAGTGATCCCAATGAACTATACGCGTCGATGTGTGCAACGGGGAATATGCCAGGGAAAGAGGACAAGAAGACAAAGATCCAGCATGGCATAACCCATTCAGCTTCATCGAAGGCAGAAGAAATAACGAAGAAAAAAGCCGTAACATGCTTTAATTGCGGGAAAACAGGACACGTTGCAAGGGAGTGCAGGAAGCCACGAATTCAGTGCACCGCTTGCAAAAAATTGGGACACAAACGAGGGGAATGCCCTTAAAAGGAGGTAAATATCGTAGACAATATTAAAAGTAATATTGATATTTACCAAATTTATGTTCGCGTTAACGGTCATAGGATACAAAGTTTAATAGATACCGGAAGCGCATGCACTATCGTTCATTCGTCGATAGTCAAGAAATTCTGTTTTGGTACGAAAACCGTAGAGAACGTAATATTTACAGGATTTGCTAATCCGTAAGTAGTAATTAATCAAACCGCGCCGATTACGGTAAAAGTACAAAACGTGATTGCGGACGTAAACTCATTTATCATTCCGGATGAATATACGGCACACGACGTAATCATCGGCAGAGACTTCTTACAACAAGAGCATGTTGTAATGTTGAAACGTGGAAATCAGCTTACCTTTAACGATATTAGGAAATCAAGACAACCGCAAATAATTTCCGCGATGGATATCTACGTTGTCGAGACAAATCCAACTTTAAATTTAGAAAACATCGGGAAAAAGGAACGGAAATTATCCGTCGCGTTAATGGAAGAATTCCGTGATTGCATATCATCGTCAATGAAAGATCTTGTCAAAACTAATACGGCGTCGATAGAAATTAAATGTCTTACGGAAGAACCGATTGCGTATCATCCTTATCGCCTTGCGGAACCAGAAAAGAAGATCGTTCGCGAAATAATTACAGAATTATTAGGAAACGGAATAATTGGAGAATCCGATTCCCCGTGTGCGAGTCCGATCACCTTGATAAAAAAGAAAACGGCAGATACTAGGATGTACGTGGATATTTTTAATTGACAATTAAAATGGATCGTGCATCGTGCAGTCGTGATGGAGAAAGTGCACCTGAGAGGAGAGACAATTCAATGGAATCACGACTGGGACGTCTTGAAAATATGATGGAGGAGTTTTTGAGATGCTCTCGATCCTGTGTACGATCGTGTTCGTCCCGACGCGACGGCGAGATTCGTGTTCGCATTCGAGCTCGCGTTCGCGAAGCCGGGGAAGACGTACTTCGCGTGTACGTTCGCGTAGTCCGCGTAAAAGTAATAATACGGCTAAAAACGCTCGTCTTGATCGAATTGAAGAAGAAAGCTTGAATACAAGAAGGTTTATT